TGGGGATTAGCATACGGCCAACCGTATCAGATCAGTGGATACCAAAGGTATGAATACTGAAACTATTCACACACACACACACACACACACCACACACACACCCGTCCCTTGCCTTGGTCCACATGAGAACCAGAACCATTCAGTCTGTGGCTCGTCCCTGCAGTCACAGTAGTGGATAAGAAGGCAGAGGATCTGCAGTAGACTTCCTGCTTCTCTTCCTGAGCTTCGATGTAAATTCCTCCCCCCCCCCCACGTGGGATGGAAACAGCCAGAAGAACTGGGAGTAGCAGGAGGCCATGAAGTTTGCGTGTGGAGCCACTGCAGAGGAGCTCTGGGGCAGAAAGAAGGGAGGCTTCCAGTGTGGCTCCCAACATCCCGGCCAGTAGCCCCTCTGGTGGCTTTGCAGAGCTCCAGGGAGCCCCCCTCCCCCCCTGCATCAGAAGCTGACCAGGAAGCAGGCCTCTTGTCTATAGAGCCCTGGGGTTGCTTGGCCCCATTTGCATCTGTTCTTGCTTTGGCTGCCTGTCTGAAGGAACTCTGGATGGCCCACACAAGTAGCACTAAGGCCAATAGGTAAAACAATCATATAACTGTGAAGCAATAAAATAATAAAAGTAGTATGCCACTTTTTCTCACAACCCTAAAAACAATGTACATAAAAATATTATGAAAGAATTAAGGTGAAGATGCATTGGTTTCCTTAGGAAGATCTTTCCCAAGAGGCCTCTGAATGCGAATGGCCTGAATCACATGGGCAAAGGGCCAGGGGGCGCTGGGGGCAGGCAGGCGGTTCTGGGCTCCTGAGGATGAGATAGGGCAGGCGGGTTCTCCCTGGAAAAGACAGCCCCAGAAGTAGCAAGGGGCCAAGCTGTATGAGTAACTGGCAGCACCTTGAATTGGATCTGGCCCCTACAACACCCAGATGTCGTTTAGCCGAATGAATGTGTTCTTGTCAGCAAATGGGCACCAGCTTCCATACCAGCTGTAGCTGGACGACACACAAATAGCAGAGATAACAAGGGCCTGAGTGACCATCCTCGGTGCCGCCTGGTGATTCCCTCATGGCTGGCTGAAGATTCTCTTGCCATAGCTGTCCCATTAACAGGAGTGGTTGGTCCAAGGGATTCTGTGATTGTGGTTGTGTGCCAATATCTTCAGTGTGATGCTTGGGGCAGAGAGGTGAAGCAGCCGTCCTACCAGAAGGGGTTGGGGCCAGCAGAGAAAGTGTTGTTATATTTGCATTTGCTTATTTAAATACTTTAAAAACAGTTCTGGACTCCATATTTAGCTCTGCAGCTGAGACAACAACGCTGCTAACATTTGCAACAATTTGAAGCCTTCCCTGGTGGGATGAAGAGGGGTTTTGCTTCACCCAGGCATGATAAAGCAGCTTTGGTACATAGCTAAATGTCTTCTTCTCTGACTAAAGAATGGAAACTGCTCTTGAAATGTGAGGTTATTAGTTAACAAGATGAGTTGGTGGTGAGTTGCTGCCTCCTTTTGCCTTCCAGGTTAAAGAAGACTGAATTCAGCTTGGAGGAAATCTATACCAATCAGAATTACAAATCTCCCCCGGCAACCAGGTTGGTTACCCAGCAGGAGTCTGTAGACAGCATAGCATTGGAATGGGGGATTTGGTGATTTGGTGCAGAAAGGAAAGTCGTGGGGAAATGGCTTGAGTGGGTCTCCCTTTGACATCTGCTCCATGGATGCAGAGGTATACATCCATGTGCTCTGTGGCTTGAGAAAACATATCTGGCTTTGAGCCCAATTGCTAATTGTGTGCAAGGGCTTTGGGTCCTTGCTCAGATTACAATGATGATGCCCGAAGTTCACCCCTTTGGGGTTTTTTTCCCAGGTGCCTGGAAACCATTTTTGAAGAGCCAAAAGAGAAAAATGGGTCTTTAATCGCTATCAGCCAGCAGAAGAGAAAACGGATTTTGGAGTTCCAGGACTTCACCATTCCCCGGAAGAGGAGAGCTCGTAGCAGAGTCCGAGTGATGGGCGGCTACACTCGGGCGCAGAAGGCCGCCATAGGAGGAAGGGAACTGGACGTCCTCCTCATTCAGAAACTGACCGATCTTGAGACCTTCTTTGCCAAGGAGGAGACACAGGAAGAAGCTTCATCGTGTACTTGAGTTTGGGTTGATCTGCCAGAAGAGCTGATGGCGCTTCAATGATTGGGTGTGCCTGGAGGGGGAACCTTGTTTTCCCAAGGTTGGACCAACCTACCTGACTGAACCATAGACTGATATTTTCCTACATGTTGGAGGAGAATAATTAATTTCTGTTAACCTTATGAAAGAGCCCTGTCTTTAGCCTCCATTGTCACAAGGAATTTGCATCTGTGGGGTTGGTTTTTAAAAAAAATAAAAAAAGGCTAAACAAAGGCTACAGCACCTTCAGAGACATTAGGATTGTAAAGACTTCCCGAAGTTAGCTGTGGGTTTGACTCTGCTGTTCTTCTTCTTCTTCAACCTGAGTAATGTGGCAGCCAGGACGAAAGAGTTTTAAGGTGTTTGTTATTCTTTTGTTTGTTTCTAGCCAATCTTAGTTTGCATTGTTGGGCCGCAGGGCCCACTGTGTCCATCAACAGGCATGTTTTGCTCAAAGAAGAGAAGCTGTGTGTGGCATCCAAATTGTATTCTGTGGCAGACATACCTAGATGTGGCACTTTCTTTGTTTTGCTGCGTGGGGACCCAGCGCAGAGGTTCACCTCCAGGTCCTGCATTAGGAGACGCAGGATCCCTAGGAAGTGGTTTTACTCTTTTCCGCCTTCATCGCAGCCTGTTCTGCAGGCTTCCTCTCTCTTATTCCTTGGAATTGGGGCCAGCGAATTTGTCGTAGGAAATTTTAATTCTGATGTGATGCCAGAATGCCAATGAGACTTCAACAGTCCTCCATTTTGTGTGTGTGTTCCTTCTACCACCTCAACTGTCGCTCAGCACCTCTTGTTGATTCCCGTTTCCGGATTGTGACTTGTTTGGATCCCAAGTGGAGTGAATTGTACAAATGCAACAGAAGAAAGTGGTTGGGAGCATGAGTAGCAGCGTGTTACTGGATCCTGGTGGAAGTAGCAGCTGTACGAAGCCACAGAGAGGAAATGACAGATTTTTCCTTAGGGGTGTTAGGGAGATTGAAACATTTATCTTAAATGAAAATTTTACATGATGATCAACAGCTGTTGGCTGTCTATAGTGCCTGTAATTTGGGCCAGGTTTAATGGCTGAATCGTTCAAAGGGTTTGCCTTTTGTTTTCTCTCTCTCATCTGAAATTTGCACTTTTGCTACCTCATGTGGACGCTTCATGTCACTTGTGGAGTGGACTCTGGGGGCAAATGAGGGTATGCCAGACCGGGATGGAAATGGAAGACTCTTCCTTGAGCTTGCATTCCATACCTGAACAGGCAAGACGATGAAATTGGCCTTGTAGATGACAGAGGGCCTTGAAATTGGAGAAGTAGAGGAACCCTGCCACATGTGTGCCTGGAAGTAGAAATGTAGCATTTCTGCTCCACATAGTTTTCCCATTGGGGAAAAGAGAATGGGAACACTTTTTAATAGCCAAGAGCCAGATCTGGGTTCCCGTGTGACTGGGACATTATGTGTTTGCTGCTGTTGCTGCATGCAAATTGGTGACACCGGAGATTCTCCCTTCGTACTTTGGATCATTGTAGAAGATCCCAGATTGTCTGTAATCTCCACTTTTGGGTGGGCTGAGTTGAATCATTTATTAGAAGTATCCTTTTGTCCCATAGTGGGATTTTATGACATGACACGCCAGTATAGATGCCGGAGGGGTGGCTCTGAGGTGGAACTGCTGCTGCTCTGACTGCAGGTGGGCAGGCCTTCCTCTTCTTCTGGCAACCTTAATATGGCGGTTGGCGTGCTTCATCTCTTTTCTCAGTGCTTTATGTCTGAAATCACATTGATGTGAAGGCAAGGATTCTCAGCATGGTTTTGCTACAGCTGTCCAGAAGAACAGGGCGTTCCAACCATACTGACTTTAAGCTTCTGGACTTCAATTCCCAGCATAGCTGGCTGAGGAATTATGGGAGTTGAAGTCCACAAGTCTTAAAGTCGTCATGGCTGAAGAGCCCTGCAGAAGAAAATATGGCCACTGAAGTGACGGTGGGCTCTGTGGTCCACCAAGAAAGCTCCACTGTGGAGGGGGCCAGAGTGGGGGTGGGGGCTGCTGCTGAATGGCCCTTGGATCAGGCCTGCAAAAGGCAGCTTGCCTTCAAGCAGCATTCTCCCCAGGCAAGGACCCAATTCTCACCTGATTTTCAGTACAATCATGAAAAAGATTCTACTAAGAGCACTTGAAAGAAATCTCTTCTCAGGAAAATGTGGAGGCAACCAAGGATGTGATTAGGTTTTGGGGTGGGTAGACGAATATTTCCTAATATCTAATTGGGAGGGGAGAAATAGGGATGGGGGTTCTCCCTATCTGGGAGAAATAGGGATGGGGGTTCACTCTTCAATGCAGGTGTCATCATGGGGCCAAGAGCAGCTCTGAGCTCCAACAAATGGTTTTTGAGCCTGGTCAGACACCCCCATCATTGGGAGCAGCTTGAAAGGAAGACTGCTTGGTTGGCCTTTCGTAATCCAAACCAAATGGGAATTTGCACACCTGTACTGGTGGCTCTTCTGTGCCATTATCACATGTTTTTTGTTTATTCCTGTACTTTTTTTTGTTTCAAATTCACTTTTTCTAGTGTTTAAATTATGGAAATAAAAAACGTAAACAAAAGCACTGGTGGTTTTTTTAAAGCTACCTCCATTTAAACATTTGTGCAGAGATGGACAAATTAATACTGAAATTAAAAGATAAAGAAGAGTTGGACTATTATGAAATTTGGAACAATTGGTACAAATGGCTGCAAAACAAGAATAAAATTAATTAAACCAAAAAATTATATATATGTGTGTGTGTGTGTGTGTGTGNCCCCCCGTCCACCCTCAAGTAAGAGAATCTGAGATCCATCTTTCGGGTCTCCAAAAGAGCATCAATGTATCCCTCAACTGTATCCATAAATGAGGAATTATTCTTACTTTTGAGGTTCATTTAATATGTAAAAGAAATCAAACAAAGAATTCACAACCCAAAGGAACTGGAAGGGGGGGAAAGCCTAATTACTTCTTCAGGGACAGCTTTTAGGGAGACAGGAGAAAAGGGCTGAACTTGCTGGTTGAAAAGAAAACTTCTCGGAAAAGGATTCAGAATCCCCCCCATCCAGCTCTTGTCCTTCTGTCTCCGTCAATATCTATTAATTTACTTCTGAGAATTTGGCAGCTTCACAAGGTGCTCCGGAGGGAGTTTCCAGTGAATTTAAGCTCACTGTCAGCAAAATAACTAAGAATGGCTACAGAATCTATTTGGAGGGGGGGAAAGGAAATGGTCCAACACAATCTATTAAAGTGTCATAACCGTCATCTATGCATAATCCACTAATGTGCTAACTGGGGGGAAAAAATCACAGCTGGGACATAAATGTGGGAACAATGAGAATGTTCGGTAGGAAAGAAAGAAAGAAAGAGTTAAAAGAAACTCAAATTCAACTTGAAAGCCAAGAATGTGATCAGGGCCGACCAACAGAGTGATTTTCTCATATCACACAAGAGGTTCTTCTTTCGCAAGATCGGCTCAGAAAACGCTGCTGGTGGCAGGATGGGTAACCAAGCCAGAGTTTACAATGTAGCTCCCTCTGTTGTTGGAGCACCTGGGAGGAGTTCTCCATTTGGGACCATCTCTGAACCCAACATCTTGTCTTTCCCCGAATCCAGTCGCTTCTTCTTGAGCTGAGATTGATGGATGAAGGGAACGAACGCAAGAATGAGACCTCCAATTATTGGAGGAACTCCAGCAAAGTAGAAGGCAAGCTGGTAATTTCCAAAATGGTCATGAAGGAATCCTGAAAAAGAAGGAAAGCAGGTAACCTATAATGGAAAGTGAAGTTGAGGAGGGTTTCTGTCCTTGAGCTATAGAATCTTAGCAATTTCATTACTGTTTTTAATGCCCAAGGATAAAGACACAGAGGGAAAAGAGAAAGAATTCTGGACTTCAATAATTATTTGGATTTAAAATTTGAACTGAGAAACCAGAAAAACAGAAACAGAATAATAGAATTGGAAGGGACCTTGGAGGTCTTCTAGTCCAACCCCCTGCTTAGGCAGGAAACCCTACACCACTTCAGACAAATGGTTATCCAACTTAAAAACTTCCAGTGTTGGAGCATTTACAGCTTCTAGAGGCAAGTTGTCCCACTGATTAATTGTTCTCACTGTCAGGAAATTCCTCCTTAGTTCTACATTGCTTCTTTCCTTGATTAGTTTCCACCCATTGTTTCTTGTGGAAACTAATCAAGGAGAGAAGCAACCTAGAAGTAAGGAGAAATTTCCTGACAATCAGAACAATTCATCAGTGGAACAAACGCCTTCCAGAAGTTGTGGGTGCTCCAACACTGGAAGAACACTGGAACACTAGAACCAGGATTCTACCTTCGTAGCAGTTCTCAGCTGCAAGCACCAAGCTAAAAGGATGTTGGCCAGATCAAGTAAGAATCTTTATCTATGGAGATTCTCAGCCATCCAGGTCATGGTTGTCCCAAAGGTGCTTTTCCAAAAGGCAACTGGACTTGGCTCAGTTCTGACTAACGGGTGAAAATGGAAGGACTGGTATCTGTTAGCCCTCTCTCTGGGAGTGGTTGAGTCACCTGGAGGTTTCTCTGTGCCCTCAGAGTGGAAGCGTAAGAGCAGCTCTTTCCACCCTTTTGACTTCTGACTTGTGCTGCTCGACTACAACAATCCTCTTGATCAGGTGATGCATCAACTGACTTAGCTGGCTGAGATGTGGAAGTTGTAGTCCCACATATAGGAAAGGCTGAGTTAAAGTATATCAAGTAGCATTTCATGACCTCCAGGGTGGGTTCCGGCAGGCACTACGGCCAGTTCGCTTGTGTGCATGCTGCGTGCACACGCTCAGTATAATTAAAATTGTTTTGCGCATATGCAGAACTCAAAACAAGATGGTTTCACCGATGGCGGCCCCTGGAGAACCGGTTTGGGGGCATAGCAGGCCAGGTTCCCTGCCAGTTCCAGCGACCCAGGCCACCAAACCACTACCGGTTCAGCCAAACTGGTCCGAAGTGGTAGGAACCCACCACTGATGATTATTTTCTGGTGTTCACAGCTCAATGGCTCTGCTCTTAAGGCTTCCTCATTCTTCCTGTCAGGGCTGAAGATGGCAAGATGGGGAAAAAAGCCGGAGATAACAATGTCAAGCTAGGAAAAGAACAGCTAAGAACCCATTGATTCAGAAAGGTGAATGAAAAAGACCTAGGATTTAAAACTTGGACCTCACAATCACATACCCAGAGAGCTTAATCCCTGTATTCTACGGAAGGCTGCTATCGCTTCTGTCTTATTTACAATAAAAGCAACTGATCTGATGGGGCTCTATGACCCTTGAAGTTTCTAGAGTGAGCCACTGGGTGACAAGACAGGTTTCAAAAGAAAGGAAAAGTATTGCTGGTTCTGATGTAAAATCTGACAATTGGTGACAATTTGCCTTCAACTCCTTACTCCTTGACCCTTTTGCAAAATACGCCCCCATTTTAATTGGAGGCATTCTGAACCAAATGATTTTTTAAAAATTGTTCATAGCATTGAGCAGTTCTGAGCCTTGAAGTCAATGTAAAGCCTTTCAATGTAGCTTTTAATGGGCTTTAATAAAAATGTTACTTATTCCAAATTCAGATGACCGGTTGGGGAGGAGGGAGTCTGATTTTTAAAGAGTACACATTATTCCCAGAAGAAGAGGTACAACTGACGAAGAATTTTCCAGCTGCAGCCCTTCTCTGCAAAATCTTTTGATCTTTTTAATCTGGGAAAATGGGACTTTATTGAGCAACATTTGGCTATTTTCTAAGCAGTAAATTAATCTGGGCTAGATAGTTGCCACATTTTATATATATAAATAATAAATAAATAAATTAAATAAATAAATAAATAAATAAATAAATAAATAAATAAATAAATAAATAAAT